TTGAGGCGGCGGCGGTGGAGCGGGGTTTGTTTATCCAAAGATGGATGAAAGAGGAAATGAGATTAATTTATGAACTTTGCTACACGGACCCAAAATATAGGACCAACATGGACGACAGGTGAGGTGCCCCCCTCCTATTGCATAATAAGCTGGTCATCAATGATGGCCAGCTCATTATGCAATAGGAGGGTGACACCTCACATGTCTCCCTGTTGATCCCATATTCTGGGTCCTTGTGGAATTTTTCTTAATTTTTTGGAGGTGGAGGTTGGGGTGGGTGTGGAGAAATCAGAGAAACCAGATTTTCTGGTATAAGTCGACTCATGCACAAGGCTAAGTCGACTTATGGTAAGTCGACTTGTCAGTGTGCACAAGTCGACTTACGATCTGCACTGGAGTTGTGTTTTTTTCTCTCTGCCAAGTCGACTTATCAGGCCTGATAAGTCGACTTACGAAGTGTACTCCAGTTGCTGTTTTTCTCTCTGCCAAGTCGACTTATGCTCTCTGTTAAGTCGACTTACGATGGGTTTTTTGCATAATCAGGTTTCCTGTTTGCAGTCTGATTGGGTTTTTGTTTTGATATAAATAGGGAAACGATTTGTTAGGGTTTTTTATCAGAGATTGAGGAATCTTTTGAGCATTGTGAGAGGGAGATATTGTGAGCAAGGTGAGATCTTTGGTTGAGGGTTAGTTTGAGAGTTTTGTAATCATTTGTACTCTCCTTGAATTAGTGAAATCTCCCCATCCTCTCCCCGTGAACGTAGGCAAGTTGCCGAACCACGTATATCGCTGTGTTTGGTTTGATTTGTCGTAATTGGCTTGATTTGTGCAAGAGTGTGGCTTTCTTCTTCCGTGATCACAAGTTCGTTGTGTGTGCGTGCAACGCTTCCGCATAGGCGCGCGACAGTAGGAAGAGAGGATGTGGGGCCCACCAATTTAATATTCATGATGTCTTGAGATGCTCTCTTGGTGAAGGATGGAGATTGTTCCGCATGTGTACTATCTTAGATTGGCACCTTATGGATACTTTATCCACACACATAGGTGGTTGGATAAAAAGTTTTTTATCACAATTTGATATCATCATAAAAGATTAGAACGTGTGTATTCATGGTTGCCGGGATTCTCCACAAATTCTAGAGGCTAGGAAGATTGAAAGACTAATCAACCATATAGAATGCAAAATACAAAAATTTGAAGGGCTAATACATAGGAAGATGAAACAATGCATTAATTGTTAGCTTATTGAATTTTTCATTTAGATGCTATAAAAAAGGAATGTGCTAGTATTGAGAAAGTTATCCTATTAATATGTAAGAGGGAGAATCCTCTCAGAAATCTTGAGTGATCGGTGTTATCAAATTCCTTGAGTGATGTAGTGTGATGATAGGCCTCTTAGAGCTCTCAAGTGATAGGTGTTCTCGGCTTTCCTTGAGAGATGTGAGATGTGTGAGAGTTTTTAAGTTTGTCCGTGCAAAACTTGTATCACTTATATTGATTGAATTGGCTTGTGAAGATAGTGGATTTTCCTAGTGAGGAAATCGTGGATGTAGGCATCACTATAATAAAAGTTGCATGTGCCCACACTTAATAGAAGTATCATTTTGATTGCAAAGGATTAAATAATAATGACACAAATAAAAAGTGTCGCAAGCGACGACACATATTTATGTCACTATATATAGAATAGAATAAAATTGAAAAAGGTTAATAGACTCATATTGATTGTGTGAGAACATACTGATGGTTAAATAGTAAATATTGAGATTTAAGTGTAATATTGATTAAACATTTATGGTAGTGAATTACCAAATTAACTCTAAAAGTTAAGTGTGCCCTGCTGAGAGTAACCTTAGGGGGTGACCTCCTGAAAAGTTATTGTGTTGTATGGTGATATTTTTATATTTTTTATGATCTTGACACGAACATGTGTCGTGTGTGTGTCTCATGAGTTTTGTGATACATGTATGTATCATGAGTTTTGTTATCATGAGTTTTACGATACATTCTCACATCTTGGGACTTATGAAAGGGTCCATGGTTAATGGCCTAACAACATGTTGGCATTGAATAGAATATATTATAATAAAGGACGAAATTTTCCAATAATGCAAACCTGCAGGTCAAGTTATAGATGCATGGGTCAAGTGTGAGAGAATTTTTTAAAATGAACGTTTTTTAAAAAATAATAAGCAAAATCGATTTTTTTTACCATATCATCAAGGCTAGTCAAAAAGAGATCGATTTTGCAAAAACTCATCTTTGGAATACACTAAACTAGTAGTCCTATGTAATTAGTGGTTGCTAATTAGGTTTAATATGATTCCTCTTCCATGCAGTCAAGTATGCGGTATCCTTATTCTAATCCTTCCAAACAGTGCACCAAGATTTGAGACCTCCCTCGGTGTCATGATCTGAATCTTATTGGTGGCACCTACGAGCCCTTCCGAGATGCGGCGAACCATTAGGGCATGAGAATCTCTCTTAAAGGTAAAAATTTGAGAGGAAACATGAGGGGTTGAATCAATATAAGGTACAATTATGTTAGAATTTGGTCAAAAGGGGGTTGATGGAACTAGCTAGGGTTTAGAGAGGTTTATGCTCTTTTTCAATTTCCTCTTCCTCCTCAACACTAGCAACTTCATTTTTGCCTTCATCATCATTGTCATCATCGGGGTCGCAAAAGATGAACTGATCTAGGGTTTAGGGTTAGGCGGAGGGCGGCGACTTCAAGCTCGGGATCGTCATCATTGTCCATGAGGACTTGCAGGTACGAGTGGAGAAGATCTGCTTCCAGTTGTAATTAACGATTGCTAGTTACACCTGTCAGGACTACTAGTCTCATATATTTTAAAGATGATTTTTCATAAAACTGATATCTTTTAGCCAACCTTGATGACATGGCCAAAAAGAAATAGATTTTGCTAATTATTATGTAAAATGGTTGATTTTGCTTTTTTTTTTAAAAGTTTCTTTTTTTTTTAAATTCTCCGCTCCGTCAAATGTGTTCTCCTCCGGGGGAAAAAGGCAATCCCATCGACTCCAACAGCAAGTGGCATGATTTCAAAGCTCGGTAGGTAAGCCACCGTATCATCATATTCTCAATTCTAAATTGTTTCGGAAAAATAATAATAATGACAACTTCAAATATCATAATATATACAGTTTGCTATCCTATTCTCACACATTGGTCGAAATCAAAGAAGTATAATAACTATGTTTTGAAGAGTTCATGTCGGCGCTGCATGGCTTTGGTATATAATTTGGAGAATGGCAAAAAGGCAAAAAGCATATTATGGTTCTGATCTATATGACTTGTTAATCCATCAGGATATATAATTACACGTTGAAAGTATATATTGTATCTAGAAAAGGTATTATACTGTTGTTCTGATCCGTGTAACTTGGACAATTACACCATAGAAGTATATTGTATAAAGTAGCCCTAGAATCGAAGTATGGTGTAATTATACAAGTGCTTATGAAGTTTGCGGTTTGTGTATCTACACAGATAATTCTAGCACTAATTTGTTGATTGTAATATACTGGTGATTATAGAACTTGTCAGCAAATTAACATTATTTGATTTTTGCTGATTTGGAGCTCTTTTTGCTTTAGGTAATTAGGATCAGAGTTACGGTTACGGGTAAAATTAAGATTATAACAAAAGTTACTAAGTAATAGAGTTCAAATTAGGGTTAGAACAATAAAACTTTAGTGAGTAATCATTACTAGCTATAACCCTAATTCAAACCCCAACCTCATGTCCACTCTAAGCCTAACTCTAACCCTAATGGCATCTACTGAACACTTCAAATCAAAAAAAAATGAAAAAAAATGAAAAAAAACAAATAGGGGTAACTTGTTAGTAGATTCTAGGGTCATATATACAATTAAAATCACTAACCTTATGATTATCCGAATAGATCCATAGACTTCTAAGACCACATGTGTAATTATATTATGTCTCACGTTTTTTAGTGTAGCTATTCTTCTCTTTATAAAAAAGCACATTATGGATGTGTTTGCAAACTTTTAAACTATGCTAGGACTGAATTGTTGAGGTTATTAATATGTGAGTAAAATCCCATATTGGATAAGATAGAAAAGATTAATGGGTTTAAAATAGATGTTGGAGTTAAATACCTAGTAAGTATGGCTTATGGGTTAAAATTGGTTCCTGACCTCTGCTATAATCCCATCAAACCCTAGATTAGGCATTTTTATTCCCCAACAAATGTATTAGAGCTAAGTGAAGTGGTGCAAGATCTTACACAGATGTCCGTAGCAATAAAATAGTCTAGTTAGCTCCCAAGTAAAATGATTCAAGATCTTACATATGTTCCTAGCGATGTGCCGATACATGGTCTGAGCTATAGCTTTTTGGTTAAAATTGGCTTCTAGCTTCGGTTTAAAGTCCAAAAAAGTCTAGGTTAGACATGTTTACTCCCCAAACACGATCATGACCAATTTTTGGATTTTGATGATATGCGTTAGTTTTACTTAAACCAAAAAAAAAGTCATGAAACCGATCCTATATGTGGGTTACCCACTTGCTAAATGATAAACTGGTTTAGAGCAGAACTCGATCAGGATTAATTTCGGCCCCAGTTTGTGAGTGATCGCAAAACGTCGCCCTAGAAATCCTTTTGGGCCGCAGCCCTCGGCCCAATTAGGGACTTCCATCCTCCAAAGGCAAATCCTGCTGCTTTTCGCAGCTGAAGCTCTCTCATGGAGTCAGTTCTCCTAGGTCCTCCTTCCTCCTCCTTCCTCCAACTCCCAAAACTCCACCTCCATGACAAGCCTCGGCCCTCTAATCCCCCCTCCACAATCTGCTGCGGGCTGAGGAAATCATCAAGAGAACCTCTCTGGCGACGAAAAGTCATGTCCACAGAGGCAATCCAAGCCGTTCAAGCTCTCAAGATCGCCAAATCCTCACAATCTAGAGACCCGTCATCACCCTCTTTTCCTTCGTCGAGATTGGGTGAAGTGTTTAGTAACAGGATTGGGAGGTTGATCAAGGGGGATTTGGTGGCCGTGCTCGGGGAGCTGCAGAGGCAGAATGAGTGGGAGATTGCGCTTCAGGTCTTGTTCTTTCTCTTAAAGATTTGATTTTGACTGATGGGTTGCTGTCAGTTTAGTGATATCTGTCGATTTTGATGGTATGGGTTTTATTGGAATGAGGTGTGGCCATAGTTCATAGAGAGAACCTTATTGGGTAGATTTGTAATTAGTGAATTTTTGAGGTGAAGTTGTGCTTATACAACTCGGTTCTTGGTGATTGAAGAATTTCAGATAGTTACTTTCAAGTTATATTTTGTTGGTACATTATATTTTATGCTTGAAGAAATAGCTCAGTAGATCTTGGTGGTGGTCACATTGTTAAGAACTTTTTATCGCAATGTTTTGTCTTTTGGCTCGTGATGCATTCCAACAATATTTGTTTAAGTACTCCCAAAAGATTGGTATATGTTTCTTTCCCCATTGTGGGTACCGATTTTTCTCATTTGGTGGAACAAAAGTTCTAGGCTCAGATGAAGATGCAAGGCATACCTTCATTGCCCTTGTTGTCTTTGATCTTTTTAGGGTGTTAATGATACTTGGCTTATGAAGTCATTGTTCATATGCACAATTCATCAATCAGATGCAAAACAAATAATTTCATAGTAAGATTTTCTCAAGCAATCATCAACGCCTTTCTGTAGCCCTCGTCAAACTGGCGTATGCGCAATTCCTACTCCTGCAGTGTTAGAAGCATAATCATAATGCTTTTGTTATGTGTATCCGAAACAGTTATGCATGTTGTATGCGTATAATCTTCCTGTATGTGTATTATATATGTACGTACAGTCTCTCAAAAAAATTATTTATTATAATATACATGTACTGTAAGGAGTTGCAAAAAGTTACATTGTGAATGTAGTTTTGAGCATTGTCTAACTAATGCTAAAGTTACGCTAGTAAGATCCCACAAAGCAAGGCAGGGTAGAAATTGGAAAATTTTGGGTTGTATTTATGCTTTTTAATAAAAGTTGTCTCCAACATAGTATCAGAGCACTAGGGATGTCATGGATTTGGAATTCGGTGTAAATGGGATAACAATGTGCAGCTGTCATGGTCAAAAAAGATATAAATTTTTATTATCGTTAATATATTGGTAGAAATTTGCCATCCTCTCAAATATTTAAAGAAGGCATATATCCTTTTCTTCATGTATATATATCCTGTTTTTCATGTACCTAGCAAGGACAGCCTTCAGATGATATTGGACTTCTCTACATATTTATTCGCATAACTACTGTACTCTGTTTATTTAGAGCCTTTTGCCTTGTGCTTAAAATTGCTTAGATGGCAGCTGCTTGGTGAGTACAGAGTAGAATGTTATTTTGCGTTTTACTAAAGAATGCCATGTTCTCACCAAAAATAGCAGTATCTCACAGTTTTTGGAGTGCGCCCTTTTATCACCAATAATAATAATAATAATAATAATAGATGTGTTTATATTAACATGAAGTTGTATCCTTTTTCTTTTGCCCTTGTATGTTAATAATATATCTAATACTCAATAAGATTCCAGGTCTTTGACTTCATGAGAAACGAGGATACATTCAGACTTGATCTATCTCTCTACGGCGACATGATCCTAATGTTGGGTAAAAACAAGCTGATTGAAATAGCTGAAAAGCTACTATCAGAACTGAAGAAAGAAGGTTTACAGCCAGATACAAGAATATACAATGAAATGATAGGTGCCTATTTAAAAGTTGGAATGATCGACAAAGCAATGAATACATACAAAATTATGAAGGACTCAGGGTGCAATCCTGATAGATTGACACTAACCATATTAATAAGGAACCTTGACAAAGCTGGAGAAGAAGAGCTTGCGAGTTTTGTGAAGAAGGATTGTAACCATATTAATAAGGAACCTTGACAAAGCTGGAGAAGAAGAGCTTGCGAGTTTTGTGAAGAAGGATTGTGAAAAATACGTGGAGTACCCGGAGAGATTTCTAGAAGAAATCAACAAGACATATGTGAGTATTTTTTTTCTGCCGGACTGAACATTATGATGTTATTATCTTAGTTTACTTTTATTTAGATTTCCAAAAACTTCTAGGGACAATTGAACGATTATATGGGTGCTAAACAGATAAAACTGATAGGTTTTGTTATAGTTTTGAGCAATAACAATTAACGAAGTGGGTTCTAGAAAGACCAAAGTAAATATTTTAGCTATATGAGGACTTCAATTTCAAACAATAAGATTGAGAATGGAAGCATGTAACTACAGTTTACATTTTGATCAAACATTATCTGAACATAGAATCAATCGTGTATGTTATAGACTAAATAACTGCAGAAAGTGACAGACCTCTGAAAAAGAAAACGTCCCAGATAATTCTGAGTGGCATTCGTATGGAGAATGCATTACAATCTACACCAAATATTTAAAAGGAAAAAAAGAGTACATCTACCCATTTCTGCACTTTGCAATGAGTCATGGAAGCCTAGTCAATAAACTCATATTTAAATAAAGATGAAGCAAGTCAGAAAGATAAACACTCATCATGAAAACCCCTCAAGGCTAAGAGCTTCTACATGATAGCTAACATGCATTCGTGTTATTCTCTAACATTGTCTACTGTTTTATAACAGCAGGGTAATATCTCAGTCCTGTGATTGTCTGCTAGATAATTATGTAGGGTTGTAAGTTAAAATTTATCCGGAGTGTACTATCAAACGTTTATCTCGAATGAAATATAAAGCAAAGATTATACTAATGTGCAACATGAGCCATTTTCTGACCGTTTATGCTTCCTGTACATTTCTGCAGCCACAAAGGAGATCAGTCAAACTAGTTTGAAGAGTTACATGTAACGTGACCGAGCTGGACATAATCATTTTGCGAGGGCACAACACTGTGTTCAAGTATGCGAACTTCTGAGCATAAGAGCCAAATGTGCACAAAGTTCAGTCTGATCTTCCAAAAAGTTGTGCAAAAAGTTGCAGGAAAAAAAATTCAGCCCATCTGCGTACTTAATTGTATTTGGCGCGACAATTTTGTAGACCATCTTTTATACGATGCTTGAGAGATTGAAGTTATATTAGCATAGACAAGCAAGTTTTACTGTAAAAGTGGAAAGTTCTACTAAATGTGCTTCAATGAATTATGTTGGCTACAATTATCATTATGGATACAAGCACTTCAACTTTCACTAGTTTAGATCAAATCAAGTTCTCCATACAGAGAGATAACAGCATGGCAAAGAGACGTTGAAGAACAATAAGAACAAAAATGATTGAGCGTTTTATTTGTTTTCGGTTCAATGAGGTGGAATTGAAAATTAAGAACAATAAGAACAAAAATGATTGAGCGTTTTATTTGTTTTCGGTTCAATGAGGTGGAATTGAAAATTAAACCATGTTTAAAAATAATTAAATTTTTGTTTTATTTGTTTTCGGTTCAATGAGGTGGAATTGAAAATTAAACCATGTTTAAAAATAATTAAATTTTTAAAAAATTAAAACGGAATAGAGACTTTACTCGATCGTAAAATCTTTAATGATTAGTTCCCAAACAAATAAATTTGTGTGTAAAGATTTACGTGAGTCGGGCGATGATTATCCAAATTATTAACCGGATCGGGCGGACCAACCCGACTCGCATCGCCTCAAACTAAGTATCCAAATCCACTAGGCAGCCAAGGGCATTTAAGTAACTTGACCCAAGTGTTTCCCATCCATGAAGGGGAGGGCGATCCTTTTGATTTTAGCCTTCCCTCCCTCTCGTTCGTCGTCGGAACCCTAGTCGTATTCCGCCTACGCATCGTCGACGGGCCGAAACCCCCTTCCTCGGTCTCCTTTCAGTGAGCTGTAGCAATCCGACTTAGCGAAATCCAGCTGAAGAGCGAGCGAGCGCAAAAAGCTTAAATCTTGTTGTTGGGGATAGATATTCGTTCTTTGAGGATCGTGAATTCAGGTTTGTTTGTTTTTTTTTTCTCCTTTTTGAATTTTTTTTTTTTTTGAATTTATTAGGTGATTTTTAGGAGATTGCAAGTCTGTTGCTAGGGTTTCAGTGAATCTGCTGCGTTTCGAATTCAGTATATATATATATATATGAGAGAGAGAGAGAGAGAGAGGGTTTGAAGGTAATCCCCCCCCCCCCCCCACCCCGCACCCAAAAAAAAACGAAATCCTACATCTGAGCTAGGGTTTAGGCGTGATGTTTGCGGCTAATTATTTCTATTTTTTTGTTGATTTTACTATGAATATGCAATAGGGTATGGTAAATTTGATCTGACCCCCATTTGATCAGAACAATCCCTAGCTTTACTCTAATTTTATTGTGATTTTAGTTGATTGAGTGGTCTTACTTCTCTGGCATAATTTTGGTTTTTTGGGGATGCTTTTATGTGAAGTTTGAAACTTTGTGGATTTTTTTTATGATGCCCATTTGGTTGACTGGTATATCACGGAGTTAACGTGTTATACTTAATTTTTTAATGTATTAGTTTGATAAAACTACGAGAGGGAAGAAAGTTAAAAAGTAATCATTATTCGCAAAGAGATTTGTTAAAGAGAAACACGTAGCATTTATAGGAACTGCAAGTTAACCCTCTGTATTATCATAATTTTTAGGGTAGTGGGCATTTTGATCAGCAAGCTCCCTCTCATGGCTCTGAGAGAATAACACTGTTCACAAGGAAAATATGATGAGGATATTTTCTCCTCTTTAAGCCTTCATTATTAACAAGCTCTGAGAGCTGAGAGCAAGAAAAGGAAGGGGTGAGGAGTTGGTATGAGGAGAGGAAAGCAGAGTGGGAATATACTTATAAATGCAAGGGGGAGAGCTTTAGATTGATAGCTTTTATTTGCATTTGTAAGTATTGCATGAAATTAATACAAATGCAAAATACCTGAGAAAATTTTGATATGATGAGCAATTATTTGTATGTTTCCTATGAAGTAATGAAGTATTAGTTGTCCTTGATATACAAAAAAAAGAGCACGTAAGGTGTGATAAATATTGAATATGGTGGAACCTCAAAATGTGAAATTGTGGTATAAGCTGCAGAATGTGGTATTTGTTGTAGTTTACTTTTATGTTGACATCTTTGAAAGTTTTTTCACAAGCCTTATAAAAGGCTTCAACTTTAACAAATATCAGTGTTCAGTGGCATTATTGTATCATCTATTTGTGGATAATATGTAAATGTACTTGCAAACTAACAAAATCCAACAATTATTAGGTTAATATTCTTTCATTTACAGGCAATATTTCAAAGGAATTTTGGTAGCAATTGAACAACTTCTGAGTCTCTAGCTTCCCCTCTTTTATGTCGGTTTTAAACCCCAGAACAGTTCAACTTCTTCAAGACATGAAGTTGAGAGTGGAGAAGAGGAAGGAGGACAAAGAATGATGTCTTTTTCTTGATCCGTTATTATTAACATCTCTCAATACTAAGGATATGCAATGGTGATATGTTATTAGATACTTGGAATGTTTCTGGAGTTATCTTCATTTTGTTGAAAGTCTTGAAAGTTAAGGTGGATAATTTATCTTAAAACTTAGTAAATGTAGTCATCATTGCTGAAAATAGCTAGTTTTACATTTTAACTTCTTTTTTTTGTTTTGTTACTATTTGACCATCTCATTGTGTTTGATTTAAAGAAGAGGAGTTAAGAGGGTAAATTTTCTTAAAATACCAATTTGACATCCAAATTCATATATAATAAAGTATCTGATGAGGACATCGCACAGCCTCCACTTCGCACATACTTTCGTCGTCGTCGTCGTCGTCTTGCTTCAGCTTATATTTGGTTTTGATTTTGAGAAGGCTTGGAGTTTAGCTAGTGTTACTTTTATTCTCTTTATTGTATTTGCTCTTTTTTTAGTCCCACATCGGATATGGGAGTGAACTTGTAGTTGTTGAAGGCCTATTTAAATAGGTCAATTCTATGAAATAAAGCAATGAATATTTGAAGAAGATTTTGTTTCATTTGTGAAACTTTGGGTAATTGATTTGATCTCTAAGATTGAGTCAATGGTGGTGAAGCCAAGGCCCGGGTTGCGATTCGTGGTCATATCTTGTTAATCTTTCAAACCCTAGCTTTTCCCAAATCTTTGTTCTTCCCCAAATTTCCCAAATCCCTTACATAAAACCCTAAAAGCCCCATCGTCCCACATCATTTTGGTATCAGAGCAAAAGTTGATCAACCGGATTCTTCTCCATCTCAGGTTCTTCCATCTTCTTATTTTTTTTTTAATTTTTTAGTTTGTAAAAAAAAAGTGCCAGATCCAAAAAAAAATCTGAAAATCTCTCTATCCAACAAATTCATTCTTTCCATCCACCCAAAATCTCACCCATTTAATATCTCCCCACCCATTCTCTGTCAGAACTCATCTCAGCCCTCCATTACAAAAAAAATGAGGAAGAAAACTCTAACCCCTCCCTCATTTCCCGTCTCTCCCTCACAGCCGCCTCCAAACTGATCAGCCCGCCTCCACCAGCGACGCCGAGCAGTCCCTGAATCTCCGCTCTCCTCCACCTCAGAGCACTTCAGAGCACCTCACCGTACCGCTGATCTTAGCTCCGTCGCCGTCCAGCCCCTGTTCCTCCTCCAATTGAATAGGTCCTCTGCCCCTGTTCCTCCTCCAGTTGAACAGGCCGCCGCCCTGTTCCTCTTCCACAAGCCCGCCGTCCGCTCGCGTCCTTCCGTCATCTCTGTTCGTCGCCACCCAGTTTGCCGTCTTCTGTCAATTCATTCGACGCCGTCGCACACGCCATTGTCCAGCTCGCCTCAGATCTCTACCAGCCTGCAGCACCATCATTCAGAGGTTTGTTAGTGAATCTTCATTAAGGTAATTCTAATATCATCGATTCTACGTCTTTCTAATTAATCTGAGGTTTGTTAGTGAATCTTCATTAAGGTAATTCTAATATCATCGATTCTACGTCTTTCTAATTAATCTGGAAATTGCTGCAATCGCTTTTTAGACTGGTTCATCTTACGTGCTATCAATATTGTTGGCTGTCCACTAAACTTGTGAGCGTGTGAATCTGTTCTACCTTTATTGGTGCTAGTTCTCGATTTTAAATTCGAACTTTTCCAAATCTAGCTTGATTAATTATACTGTTGCAATCTTACGGCTCAATATTATCAGCATGAATTTTGTTGTCGATATAATTATCACAAGTTAAATAATTGATGTTCTAAGTTGTAACAAACCGTTGGATAGCGTATTGAACATTGCGAATTGGTCTCCTTATTGATTTCTCATTTTCTATCGTATTCCACATTATCATTTAGCATCATGTTAGGTGTTAGCATTGATTTTGCATTTTGATAGATTGCATTTAGGCAAAATTAGTTAGCAATTCATTGCATCGTGATTATTAAGATCATCTAGATTGCATCTAGAAACCAATCTGTTGCATGCGCACCCGTAGTGGAACACAGTATTCTCCACCAGATCCTAATTCCGAGATGGATCCCAACCTTACAAGCCTTACAAAAGCTATAGAAGCCTTAACTGCATGATTCGACATTGTGGAACAAGATTTGAGAGAGACGAGGGAACGTTTGGACCGAGTGACGGATAGGCCCCGGGAACGTGATGAAGAAGGCGGATCTCAAACCGAACGTTATCCTCATCAACCTCATGAATACATGGACCCTCACACCAATCGTTTTGGAAATCGCCCACCTAGGGACAATTCACCTTTTGACCCAGATGAGATGCATCTGAAGTACGTAAAACTAGAGGCACCCACTTTCGAAGGCCAGTTAGATCCTCAGGTTTTTATCGATTGGATGTCGGACATGGACCACTATTTTGGTTGGTATAAAATGTCCGATGAGAGACGAATTCGATTTGCCAAAATGAAACTAGTAGATCAGGCTAGGCAATATTGGTCTAACGTTGAGAAGCTGATGATTCTTAGGAGGCAAGAGCCCATACAGACTTGGGATGAGATGAAATTGAAACTCCAAGAAAAATATTTGCCTGTGTCGTATAAGCAACGATTGCTCGATCAATGGTAGCGCTTGACACAAGGCAATCGACCAGTATCGGAGTACATCACCAAATTTGATGAATTTCTGGTTAGGTGTGGCGAGAATGAATCTGACATTGTAGTCTTATCTAGATTTCGCTCAGGACTTAGGGAAGATCTTAGGCGTGAACTCT